AACATATGAAAATCGATTTTTACTATATTTGTCAAGTAATTACTATTAAAAATGAAGATCGTTCACCCTACCTTTAAAATTTATTCCTCATTTTGGATGATCAATACTTATTTGTAAAGTTGGGTATGCTTATTTTGGAAGAGTAATAGAACTCGCAGTACCCGATCTTTTAGTGAATGATCTCGCTGAATCTGTAAAGACTTTGGGATTATCTTGCGTATTCGAGTATAATTCACAATTTCATTAAAATTTAAATTGTTAATTCATAATTCTTTACTATTCTCGGTTCGCATTTGTATATGTGTATTGTTTATTAAAAGCAACATAAAACACATCCCAAAAAGGTAGTACAATTATTTAATGATCAGAAAATTTCTTTAAATGGAAATATTCCGACACGATTTATATGCTTCTTATCCTCAAAAATACCTTTACTGAGATTTTGTTTGGAAAAAGGGAAAGAGTAATCAAGAAAATGGCAACAGTAATGTCAAAGGTTCAAAAAACTAATCCACAATTTCCGCCCAGCCATTCTCCAGTAGTATCTAGGGGTATATTGAAAGAGGAAAAAAATAACGATTCTGGGTCAACTCCAGGAAGTGGATCAAATACTTCACTGCTTCACCTCAGAAGAAGATAGGTAAATCTTTTTTCATACATAATTAGGGATGGGTTCGGTTATAACTAATGACAATCAGTTGAAGTTGTTAAATTTTGAGATGATATTTTCTTAATAAGTTATTCAGAATTAAACTCTGATCATACTGCATTATAAGATAAAAGTAAGATACCTTCTAAAATTCAAAATTTTAAAATTATCACTGGTTACAGAAAGTTATAACTAATCTATAACAGACAATAAAGTTCTTTAATTGTTAAATTATAGAAAAGGTATCTTACTTTTCTCCTACAAGGCAATATAATAAGGATTTAATTCTGAATAACTAATAACTCAAGAAAAATCATTTCAAAATTTGGCAATTTGATTTTAACTGATTGTCATCGTTATAACGAACCCATCCCTATATGCAATAGTACGTTATCGGAATAAAACCCAGTATTAAAACTGACTGTACAATTTTCTTATGTTATATATGTAATATAATAAATAACGAACATGAAATATTTGAACAGATCGGAAAAACTATGTTTCAGCAAATGTATATTAAAGAAAAACGATGTAAAAATACTTACAAATGTTATTAAATACATGCGACGATGAGAAGCCAATAATACATTATAACTAGTCTCAATCGTTTTAATTATAACTTAATGTAAAGAGTTCACACATGTGGAGTATCATATAATCTATCTCCAGCATCGCCTACAAATTCCAACAAGACAATTGAATAGTCAATCAAAATATAATTTTTGAACATATACTCTTTTATAAAATCCTGAAAGGAAATAATTAATAACTCACCTAGACCAGGTACAACGTAACTTTTGATTTTTTATTAAAAAAAATTTGGTTAAATAATTGAATATTAATATTTATTTCCAAGCATGGATTATAAAATTTCGAATTTAAATATTACCCTTGTTCATCTAAAATCTCATCAATTGCTCCGACAAAAACTTCAACGTCTGGATGGTGTTTCATTAACTTTTCAAGACCCTATAAAAAAAAATAACATATAAAATTATTTTAACAAGAAATTATGAATTAACAAAATTATTTTAGTAAATTACCTGACGTGATGCGCATACAGTAATAAATTTAATTTTTGATTTAATGCCCCAATCTTTAAGAATACTGGTTGCAGCAACAGCAGTTCCTCCTGTAGCTATCAATGGTTCTAAAACTATAACTTGTTCAACATTGGGTTCCGAAGGCAACTTATTATAATATTCTACGGGTTGAAGCGATACCTGTACATAGAAACAAGATCAAAATCGTGTTGTTGCAATTCTTTTCATGTAAATGAATATTACCCTTTCTCTAAAAATTCCGAGATGCAAGACTCTAGCCGTTGGAATCATGTCCTCAAGTGCTATTTTCAACAAGATTATAGGAAATCAATCAATTTATCATAATTGAAATGCAATTAAACAGTAAATTAATAATTCTAACCATCAACAAAACTAAGACCTGATCTCAAGATAGGCACTAGCCCGATTGTAGTAGCTAATTCAGTTCCCGTATAAGTAGTTAAAGGACTTTCCAACTGCAAATGTTGAATAAAAAAAAAAATACATATATATATAAAATTCCTAAACTCTTTCACCTGAACTCAATATTCTAATAGAATGCATAAAACCAACATTAAAATTACTTACAGCACTTGTAGCCCTTGTAGGTAAATCTGCAGTAGCTTCATACCCAAGAAGTTGCCCAAGTTCGCGCAAAAGCTCTCGAACTTGCTTTGGCTTAGTATTCTTATTACGAAGAATGGAAATTTTGTGAGCAACAAGAGGGTGCGAAGAAACTCGTATATTGGACATTTCGTAGAAAACTAGATTACTTTAATTATCTTTACGGGAAACTTTAACGTTACGACAGAGCGTATCGGTATGATCTGTTGTATTTATATTAAACTTTTCGGGACAGTTAAATTACATGAATTCAACATATTAACTGTCGGTGTATCGGTATTGCCTGTTTCGACGAATCCGACAACCTGGAATTGTTATGGTTAGAGATGGGCAACGCGACAATTTAGTATGTTATTAGTTGTAGTATATATTATTAGTAAATTGTCGCATAATGTGATTTATCCTTATGATCATGAATTGCCATCTGTCTTGTTATTTTTTTCACGTGTTACGATGTAATCATGTTTATTCTAAAACTCACCAATCATGATCATAAATTGCCGGATAACACCAATATTGG